AGCTCCCCACGGTCTCTCTCAGCTCCCGACAGCCTGCTTCTTCTTCTCCAGGTCTGCCTCTTATGCTGCTGGCAACAGTCCTCAGGTGGGCCTCCCACACCCAGCACCACTCACTCAGTTCAGCTGGGGGTTATAAGTCGACCACCAGTTATCAATCCACTACAGCCCCATTCTGATTTTCCTTTGGCAAACTGTCCTACCTTTCCATCACTGTCGGCCCACCCCTTGCTCTGGAAGAATCTGTGAGCCAACACTGACCAGGCAACATAAATAATAAAATAATATGAATCCTGAGATTGTGACTGAGAAAGAAAGGACCGTGGTGACCGTTGGTGTAGGTCAGTGCGGGTGGTGGGGATGGGAGCTGGTTTTCTCCTCTTGGCTGGGAACCCTGGCCACCTGGGTATGAAACTCCACAGCTGGCACGAGGCTCTGTGGGGTGGAGACAGCGGTGGGGGTTAATATCTAATTTAGTTTGGTTCCTGCTTAGTGGAGTCATTCCTTACTGACTTCCCCCATTTTTTAGTATGGTTCACAATATCAGCGGAGTAACTGTGCTGGGGAAGGCAAAACAGACATTTGTTCCCGTGTCGGGGAGAAAGCCTTCTGGTGCACATGACAGGAGAACACCATCACTCAGGTAATCCCTCCTGGAAAAGGGCAGCACTGGCAGTTTTAAATACACTATACTTCTGCAGGGTGGGGTTCCCATTTATTTCCTCTAGATTTTAAAATCTCAGTAGCTGCAGGATTTGAGGATCTTTGGCTTGCACCATGTGTGATGCAAGACTCCCTGGGGACATCATTCTTGTAACACTACAACTTGCAGATAACTGAATCTGGGAAAAGGAGCTGATCTCAAAGGCAGAACCCAGGTCTGAGAACATGCTACATTTGATGTGAAGTTGCAGCTTGGGGCAGAGCTGAGGAAAGGCTCCAAATCGTATGGACATGAACTGCAGGAAGGACGGTGTTTGTGTTAGTCACTTTCCATTGCTGTGACAAAATATCTGAGACAACCATCTTTTGGCCCATGTTTTCAGAGATTTCAGCTCAAGGTCAGTGAACTCCATTGCTCTGAGGCCTGTGGAGAGGCAGAACATCATGGCAGAGAAGTGTTGTAGAGCAAAGTTGCTTACATCATGGCAGCTGGGAAGAAGAAGAGAGGAGAGGGAGAGGAAGTGTGAGAGTGAGAAAGGGAAGAAGAAGGGGAAGAGGAATGTTATGGTTTGTGTCTGGATATCCTCCCAAAGCCTCATGCAGTCATGGGGTGGGCCTCTGGAGTTTATGATTGATTCATGGTCCAATGTTGGGATTATGGATGTGAGCACTGCACCCGCCCTGGGGCGGGTAATTTGCAGGAAAGAGGCTTACTCTCTGCCTCTTCTCCCTCTTTACTCTTGCTGTTTTTGCTGTTTTTCTCAGCCATGAATTATTGCCCTCTGCCATGTGCTGCTCTGCCTTGGAGCCAGCCGAGTGTGGACTGAAACCTCCACAAACTGTGAGCTAAATAAACTTCTCCTTCCTTAATTTTGGGCATCACATATTTTGTCTCAGCAATGAGAGAAAAGTAACTGAGACAGAATTTGGTACCAGGAGTGGCGTCATTGCTGTAACTCTACTTGACCATGTGGTTCAAGAGCCTTTGGAAATGGCTTGTGGGAAGTTTGGAAAGGTGCAGAAATTTCACCTGAAAGAGAAGAGCTGGAATGCTTTCAGCTGTTCTGTGTGGGAGATTCTGATCAGAGCTCAGAAGTCCAGAAGGCTGGTAGAAATTCTACTGGTAAAGATGGGGTTTAGGAGGTTTCTGCTGGGAAGAAGGACTGCATTGGTTGTGGGAGTCCAGATGATGATGTATGTTATGGCTTGGCAGAAAGTTTGTCTGCATTTTGCTCATGTCCAGGGACCTTGCCTGAGACTGAGATTAAGGGCTGCAAACTGATTAATCTCACAAAAGAAATTTCAAGGCAGCTGAGTTTTGAGGCAGTGGCATGGCTATTGTTGGGGGGGCTTTTAGCCAGATTTATGTTGAGAATCAAGAAGAGCCCAGCATGATGATTTAAAATGTGAGTTTGGTCAGAAAGGAATCTCCAGTAAAGCTGTGGGTTGCAAAGTCAGAGCTGAGGAGATCAAGATTTCTGAGAAGGAAAAGGAGAATATAGCAGATGGCCTGAGGGCATCACAAGAAGCAACAAGTCTCCACTGTTTGCAGCTCAAACCTGCAAAGATGAAAGACTTTGCTTTGCGGAGAAAGCTGCAGAGTGCCACATTCTAGAATGGCGGCAGCTGCACCATGTGCCAGAGTGGTAGCGGCATAGAGAATTTGTTGCTCAGAATCAGGTTCAGAGTACTCAGCAATCCAAGTGCTCAACCTGTACAGCCAAGAGAGAAGAAAACCTGGCTACTGCTCCAGCTGGCAGCAGACCTTAGCATCGTCCATGTGGTGCTGGTTTAGGTGCATGCAGAATGCACAAGTTCTGAGATTAAGAAGGCTTCCATCTAGATTTCAGAAGGTCTTGGAGCCAGGCAGCGTGCCCCTGACAGGACAGTGTGTGAGGCTATGAGTGTGACATGAAAGGTGCAGTGGAGACCCCAGAGGTTTGGAAAATCCAGGAATGTGGATGATCTGAAGAAAGCTGCAAAGAGGGAGCAAAGCAGGCCCAAGAGAGAAGCCATGGGAGCTATAGCCACCAGAAGTGCCATAGAGGCAGAGTGACATGGAGCTCACAATTTGCCACAGATTGCTTCAGATGTTCCACACAGAACTACAGGACTTCATGTTTGCCCTGCTGGATTTTGGACTTGCTTTGTTCTCAGTGCTTTGTATCCTCCTGTTTGTGCCTTCTGGAATGGTAATGTCTACTTGTGCCATTGAATGTTGGAAGAGTTTAACCTTTCATTTGCACAGGGGCTTGCAAATAAGAGTTTGCCTTACATCTTGGAGGAGACTTGGGACTTGGACTTTTCAGCAGTGCTGCAACTGTTAGGACTTTGGCAACTCTTAGAGATGGACTAAAATGTGTTTTGCATAAAGGTCTGTACATGAGTCTTTGGGGGTCTCGGGGTGGAATGTCATAGTTTGTGTCGGGATGTCCCCTCAAAGCTGAACGTAGTTATGGGGTGGGCTCCTAGAGTTGATGATTGATTCATGGTCCAGTATTGGGATTATGGGTGTGAGTGCTGCTCTTACCCTGGGGTGGGTAATTTGCATACAATGTAAGGGAAGGAAAGAGGCTTGCTTTCTGCTGCTCCTCCCCTTCTTCTCTTGCTACTTTTGCTATCTTCTGCTGCCGTGATCTGTTGCCCTCTACCATAAGCCACTCTGCCTTGGAGCCAGATGAGTATGGACTGAAACCTTCACAAACTGTGAGCTAAATAAATCTTTCCTTACTTAATTTTGGGCATCAAGTATTTTGTCTCAGCAACAAGAGAAAAGTAACTAGGACAAGGAAGAAGATAGACAGAGAACACAGGGACCTGGGGACAAGATTTGCCTCTTCAGGGCACTCCCCCAATGACCCAAGCCCTAAAGTTTCTACTTCCACGACCTCCCAAGCGTGCCACCATCTGGAAACGAGGTCTGTAACACACGAGTGTCTGGGGGGCATATTTAAGATGCACACCATAGCAGTACCCACACCTGACCAGCAGTAGCTGCAGCTGAAGGAAAATCTAGCTAGGCTCTTATAATCAGTTTTTCACACCCTTGATTTGGTTTCCAATGCATAGCCTACGTCAAGCTCCTACTTGTATCTTGTTTTCTTGGAATAGTTTGGAAATGTTTAAACTAATTTACGACATTGAAATACTGGGAGACATTTCACACTAACAAAAGTGCAGATCTCACAAAAGTGCAGGTTTTTCTTGAAAAACTGGAAGACCCAGCATTCTGAAATGGCGGAAATCAGTGGAGGCTGAGCAATAACTGACCCCTTATTTGCTGTAATCTCTACCTTCTACTGGTGCTTCTCTCCATTACAGCCAAAGTCCCAGGTGCCATTTGTTAGAATATTTGCCCAGTTTTATTTTCTTGCACAAGCATGTTTTACTTTTTTTTTTTTTTAAACCACAGCTGTCTTGTCCATGGTTGCGTTTGATATGGGGTCCCTGACCCTACCAAAGTTTCCAAAAGCTATTGAGTGTCTTTCTCTAATTTACCAGCAGAGGTCAAGCTCACCTTAAGAGAAAAGAGGAAACGAAGCCTAAGGGCTCCACCTACTGGCCGAAGTGAAATCAGCCTTGAACGTGGGGAGACGATATTCACAGTGTCAGCGCGCGCAAGATTGGCCCTCCAACAAAAACGTGCAAAACCAAACAAAACTATCAAGAAAGAATAAAGATGATGGAGCAGCAGGAGACTTCACGTTTCAGCTCTGGCATGCAAACGGCGTGTAAATTGTCACTCTGGACCTTACAAATAAAAGCTGAACAAAGGGAGAATCCACAACAGTAGTTTTGACTAGTTACTCAAAGCTGTTCATGGACTAGATCAGGGATAAGGGACTCGTGCAGGTTAGGTCTGAGGGGTCGTCACACTTTCACGGGTTTTATCTTCAGGAGCCGCACCAGGATTGCACAGAGAAGAGCCTAGAAAGAGGGAAGAACAACCTTTCCTGAATGCACGCAGAGCATTCTCCTGAACACAGGCTACCCCTGAGGGAGCATCCCGTGTCTCCTTGCACCCATGGGAGCCATTCCTTCAGGCCCAGCACACTGGTGCCTTCCTGTCTCACCTAACATGGGCTGAAGGAAGCTGAGAATCTTTGTCAAGCCCACGGCCCAGGGGATTTAGTCATAAGACGGAGTGGGCTGGAAAATGACCCCCAAAGATATAGAGAGACCCAATCCCTAGAATCTGTGAGTGTGAGCTTCCACAGCCAAAGAGACTTTGCTAATGTGATTAAACGAAACATCTCAAGATAAAGAGATTACCTTGGATTATCTAGGAGGCTTTACACGGAATCTCAGGAGTCCTGAAAAGACAGGCAGAGGGAGACCGGCTGTAGAAAAAGAGAAGACAGTGTGAGGACGAAGCAGAGGTCAAGTGACGCAGGAAGGGGTCACCAACCAGGGAGAATGGGAGGCCACTAGATCCTAAAAGTGCTTTAAAAATAAAGTCTGCTTTTAAAAAGCCTCACAGCCTGAAGAGATACCAAGGGTCAGTCCGGACTCAGATAAGACACTGATGTTGAAACTGTCTCACAAGGAATTTTAAATAACTATACCTCATAAGGGAAGAGCTCTAAAGGGAAAAGTAGACAATACAGGAGAACAGATGGGTAGTGTGTCACAGAGATGGAAGCCCTGAGTCAAGCGGACATGCTGGACATCAAAGGCGTATTATCGACAGCACAGAGTTCAGCTACTCTGCTAAACTCACATATTAAGGCCAGTAGTTTATTCATGGGATATTTTGGATGTTCTGTGTACATCATCTTGTCATTGAAGACAGCAGTGCTCTGCTTCTTCCTTTCCTCTCAGTATCTCTTTTGGGGTTGGGGATTTTTTTTTGTTTTTTGTTTTTTGTTTTTTGTTTTTTTTTTTGCTTTTTTTTCTGGTACTGGGAATGGAACTCATGACCTCGCGCTTGCCAGGCAGGAGCTGTGCCGCTGAGCTAAATCCCCAGCCCCATGTATTTTGTTTGTTTGTTTGTTTTTCTTCCTGTACCAGGAATCAAACTCACGACCTGTGCTTGCTAAGCAGACGCTGTGCCACTGAGCTAAAGGGGCTGGGGATTTAGCTCAGCGGCACAGCACCTGCCTGGCAAGCGCGAGGTCGTGAGTTTGATTCCCAGTACCAGAAAAACACACAAACAAACAAAAGAAATTCTCTGTCATTCTTTTTCCTATTTCACTGTAATGTTGACTAGAAGTGGTGATAGCAGGTCAGGTGTTCATGGGTGAATAGTGGAAGAACTTTAAATGAAATGCCCAAGGCTCAAGCTGTCTCTTCCAACACAATATTTGACAAATAATAAAGTAGAAAAATAGGGGGCTGGGGATTTAGCTCAGCAGCAAAAG